GTCTGGGTGGCAGCCTCACAGAGCAGGGTAGTCCCACAAACTCTCCTTTCTACGGGGCTCACCATTCCTGGGGTTCCTGTTCTGAGTTGAGGGTCCCCTCAACTCAGTGAAAACTATTGCTTCCTACTTTGCTCTCTGCCATCTGGGTCTTGGCCCCCTCCACAGGGGCCTGGGCAGCATGAGACTGGTATTTTTCCCAGTTGCAGGTACCTGCCCATACTCCATTGTGGCAAAGTTCCAGAAATGACCATACAGAGGACTGGGCCCAGCTCCAAGGAACACTGGGGATACAGTGGCGCTCAGCAAAGGTCCATTTACCAGGCACTCTGAGCACTGGTGGCCATGGCTAATGCCTCCATAGCTCAGCATGTGCACTAGATGCATTATCTTGTTCATAACAAGGTCCCCTGGCATGACAGTGGGAACAAGCCTGGGGAATCAAGGTTTGGACTCCTCGGGATCCTACCATAACAAACAAGCTGCTCCTGACCCCAAGCTGCCCTCCTGGTGAAGGGGTGGTTCCTTCAGCAGGGGATAAGGCAACTTAGAGATGACAGTGGAATGAATGATGGGATAAAAGGGCCTTGACCCTAAGGGAGGCAGACCCCACACCTGTCATAGCAGGAGGTGGTGCTAGACCTGGAGATACACCAGAAGATGGCAGGAAGGAGAGCTGGATGGCTGTGGGCAAGCACCACTGACACTAGTTTATGGCTTTTGTTTCTTCTGATGAGCCTAGTGCAGCAGCTTGGGAGAGAGGGGAGTGTCAGTTTCAGGCATGCTGGGGCAAATGCCCTTTTCTTTGTTATATTCTCTTTTGGGGTGGGGGGCAGAGTCTCATCTTATTGCCCTTGGTAGAGTACTGTGGCATCACAGCTCACAGCAACCTCTAACTCTTGTGCTTAAGTGATTCTCTTGCCTCAGCCTTCCAAGTAGCTGGGACTACAGGTGCCCGCCACAATACCCAACTATTTTTGGTTGTAGTTGTCATTGTTGTTTGGCAGGCCCGGGCTGCATTCAAACCTGCCAGCCCTGGTGTATGTGGCTGGTGCTCTAGCTGCTCAGCTACAGGCGCTGAGCCCCTTTGTTATATTCTTGACAAATACACTTGATGTATTTTTTTTATCCAGTGGAATAAGTATCAAACCATGATATACACACTAGATAAAAAAGAAACTGACACAAAAACCAAGAAGCCACCCTGCCAAGTCCCACTTTGCTATGATTTAAATACATACACTTTCCAACGTACCTTTAATATCATATGAGCAGCTCTTAGGTTTACAGCAAGAGAAAACAGAGGTAGCCAATAAAGGCTCCCTCAGTCCCTGGTGTGGGGAAGGCCGAAAGCCAGCCCTGTACAACAGGCTTAGCTGAGAAGAGTCAGGCTGCCCTGTGCCAATTCAGAAATTTGTTTCTCAGAGGCCCAGGCTTCTCTGGTCCCCACCTCCATGGCAACAGGGAGAATCCCCTTGTTCCTCCACCCAGATTTGGCACTCTCCCTGATAGGGTCCTGAGGCCTAGAAGTTGAGACACTCATGGGAAGGTTTCAGTCTGCCGGGTCAGGGTCATCATGCAGGATCGTGAGGAAGCGCTCACCTCCCTCACAGAGCAGGCTGTGGATCGCCCGACACAGTGCCAGGGAGGGCTGCACCTGGGGCTCCTGAGAGCTCACCAGGGGGAGGAGTTCAGTCATTAGGACCTGAGGGTAGTGTGAGGCCAAGGACTCAGGGAGCCCAGTCCTGGGTGGCTGGCCCAGGGCTCCCCCAGGTGGTGGTGGGGAATCACAGGACAGGCTTCAAGTCTCCTTATGCAGAAGACTCAGGGTCTGTCCTGGTGCCCTGGCCCACACACAGGGGCCTACCTCCCATCCCTGGGTCCCAGGGGCACAGCATAGTCAAGCCTGATCTCCGGGTCCTCCTCCTGTGGAGAAGCCCTCAGGAGGTTCCAGACCTGAGTCCTCCCCACACCAGCAGCCACCCAGGCACCTGGCTGCAAACCACCCCACCTCTTATTCTTGAAGTACCTTTTCCAGGTGAATCTGCTGGTTCAACATGGCCACTCGCAGCCTGAGGGCTGCCAGGGTCTGCAGCTCCTGGGTGCTGGAGTAAAGCAGCAGCTGGGGGCTCCGTGAGGGATCTACTCCACCTCCACAGGGTAGTGAGGCCCTGGAAGACCTCCCCACAGGACATGGTCCCAGTGGCTTCTCTGCCAGCACTATGTGGACAGGAGGATGTGGCTATGTGAGGGGGCAGCCATGCCCAGGGCCTAACCTTGGCCATGGACCAGTTCCCAGTTGCCCAGGTGCCTTGCCTTCTCCTCCCCCTACCCTCTTTGACTTCAGGGTAGAGTCAGGGGCTCGATGGGCAGGGAGTCCTTTGTCAAGTCCCCTCTGCCTCCTAGGTTTCTTTTTTTTTTAGACAGAGTCCCACTTTATTGCCCTTGGTAGAGTGCTGTGGCATCACAGCTCACAGCAACCTCCAGCTCTTGGGCTTAGGCGATTCTCTTGCCTCAGCCTCCTGAGTAGCTGGGACTACAGGCGCCCACTACAATGCCTGGCTATTTTTTGTTGCAGTTTGGCCAGGGGTGGGAGCTGGTGCCCTACCCACTAAGCCACAGGTATAGCCCTGCCTCCTAGATTTCTTTACAGTGCTTACATTACTGTGTTTTGAGACTGACTTTCCTTTTGACAAATTAGATATCTTCACTTTTAAAACTTTAAGTAATTAAAAAACACAAGAGACTGGCTCAGTGACATAGCACAGTGGTTACGGCACCAGCCACATACACCAAGGCTGGCAAGTTTGAACCCAGCCTACGCCGGCTAAATAATGATGACAACTGCAACAAAAAATAGCCAGGTGTTGTGGCAGGCACCTGTAGTCCTAGCTACTTGGAAGGCTGAGGCAAGAGAATTGCTTAAGCCTAAGAGTTTGAGGTTGCTGTGAGCTGTGATACCATAGCACACTACTGAGGGTGACATAATGAGACTCTGTCTCAAAAAAAAAAACACACACACACACAAAAGAAAAGCTCTATTGGTCACCTCTTGCAATACCAGGTGAGTCACGTCTCAGTGTCTTTCTGATTCTCATGTGCCGTTTTTTCAGTAACAGCTCAGAGTGATGAGGTTCTTTTGCTGGGAGTAATGGGGTAGGTGGTTGTCCCAAGGTGAGGAAGTCCGGCTGGACCACTGGTAAGAGCCCAGTGCTGCAAGGTGCCATGGGAAGGGTCTGCCTGTCTCTTGTTCTGGGTTGCTCACCTTCCATAAGGCATGGGCAAGGCTGGCAGAAGTACCTGACCCTGGTCTAGACCTCAGCATAGGTTGCAGGGTAGGGGCAAGGCCGCACCTGTATGAAGCTGCTGCAGCCGGTGGAGATACTGCCCAGCAATGGCCCACAGCCCCTCCAGGGTGAGCAGGCAATGGTATTCCTGTGTCCAGTCCGTGGGAGCTATGCAAGAGTCAGGGAGGGTGGCTGGGGCCATGCCAGTCTTGAAACCTTTCTTGCCCCCTGCCCTCCTGAGTAAAGCCCACTCCAGCCCACTGACCTGCCGAGAGCTCCTCCCTCATGCGCAGTCTCAGCTGTGAGCAGGCCTCCTTCAGGTGTCCCAATTCTGCCTCAGCCTCAGCAGCACTGAGTGCAGGGCCAGGCTGGCCTGACTGGACATAGGTCAGGAAAATTCCCCTGTGACCAGGCCCTTTCCCTCTCACCAAGGGCCTGGCCATCCCATGCCAGCCCTTCCTTGGGCCATTCTTCAACCTGACAGGTTTAGAGCCAGAAGCCCTGCAAGGATACAGCTGCCTGCATCTTCTGGAGAAACTGGGTTTTGGCAGCAATGACATCCGTGGAATCCCTGGACTGTGCAGAGCTGAGCTGGGCCCACAAGCTGGGATACACACATAGGCACCCAGGGAACCAGACACGGTTATTCTAGCCAGCTAGGCCTTGGGAGGTAGCCAGGGGCCAGGGTAGGGGCCCCATGCTGGGTGTGTACTCTGCTGAATGCCAGGAGGGGCCTCCAGAGGCCTCAGGGAACCAAGAGGACACTGACAAGGACAGAGCTGAGAGAGAATTTACAGGAGGAAAGGAGCTAGCAGTGATTGGTAACCATGACACTGTTAAGAGCTCTGAGTGCTTCTCTATGGCAGGCACAGTGCAGCACTTAAAGATGGCATCTTGTTTAGCCTTTACACTTCTATGAAGCTGCTAATATTGTTGTCATCTCCAGAAGGGAAACAAATTGGCACTCAAAGACACCAAGTATCATGTTCAAGTCTTGCACCTTGGGACTGGCTGAGCTGGGGGCTTTTGCAGCCTGCTCTAAGGAGACTGCAATAGTCCTAGCTGGGCAGACTCATAATGTCGACAGTGACCCTATCCAGCAAAGAAAGCAGACAGATCTGCCTACATGTTCCCAAGCTGGTGATGCCTCCCTGGTCTCCCCACTTTCCCCACCCAGCCAAAAGACCCAGCCTCACCGGGAATTCTGGGAAGCTGCCTTCCTGTAGGCTGTAGGAAGCTGCAGCATGCTCCTGTCAGAGAAGCCAACAATCAGAGCAACCTTGTCTCACTCTGTGGGCTGTGAATCTGTTCCCTGCTCACAGTCCAATGAAGTAGGAAGCTTCTTGCACCCTCTCCTCCCAATCCCATTCTCAGACAATTCCTCTTGGGCAGGGCTTCAGGGCAGCCATGGGAGCCAGCCTAGCCCAATACTGCCTTGGCAGAGAAAAGCAAGGGCACTGTGAGCAGAGCCCATCTGGAGTACCTAGGCTGGATGAATAAGGAAACAGCCATGGAAAAGAGGGTAGGACAGGCTTTAGCATGTTAAACTGAGCACAGTCACACCAGCTGCTATATTTTGCTAGCTTCTCAGAGAATGAGACTCAGAGGGTAGGACCCCTGGGCTCCTGTGCCCCACAACCTGCTCAATGCCCTACCCTCTCTGCCACCCCAAATCCCATACTTCTGTTGCTGGCCAGGGTCTGAGCAGATAGAGATAGGGGAAACCTACCCCTTCTCCTGGAGTGTGAAGGCTTCTGGGTTCTGAGGAGCAGTTGATGGGGCCACCTGTTGGTCCCTGAGCCCTGGCCCAGGCCTGGTGGCTTGGGCTCCTTCCCTCACATGGGCCCTCTCCCCTGCTGAGGGAAGCCTGTGCTCAGAGTGGCCCTTGGCAGGCATTGTGGTCTGGTGGGTGTCCCTGGTGGGTTTTGCATCTGATGCACGGTTGCCAGCCTGGCCTGAGGCCTGGGGTAAGATAGAAGCTGTGGTGCCAGAAGAGGTGGCAAAGGACCCAGATTTCAGGCTGGGGGCCTTATCTCTTCCTCCAGCCTTAGAAATGCCTTTTCGCACCCGTACAGCCTTCTCCAGGGCCTGGGTCAGAAGTTCCAGCTCCTTGATGTCTTTGGGGCTGGGGGTACATGCTGTGAAAGCCAAGAATCATGCAGGAATTTTTCCCCATTTCCTCCCAGAAGTGGGTTTCTCACAACACATGCCAGAAGACAGGTCTGGGCAGCACCTGGAGAAGGTGAGTGGCAGGGATTTACCTGTAGAGGGATCCTCTTCTTTAGTTTCTGGACCTAGAAGTGGCTCTGGAGCCAAGGTCCCGACTGGTTCCCTGCAAAGACATGGACAGCAGTGGCATGGCGGCCAGAAGTCAGGTCCCAGGCAGCCCCCCATCCTGAGTCTGCAGGGTAAGATGGGTGGCACTGCCAAACTGCAGCTCGGAAGTAGGTGGATGCATCCGGCCTCCCAGCCCCGGGGATCTGTGCAGGATTCGAGGGTCCGAGGGAGGCCTGGCCAGGGGGTACCCGGGTCCGCATACCAGGCCCGTAGCAGCCGACGAGAGATGCGCAGGCTCTGCTCCAGTTGCAGTTGTCGCTCTGCACAGGCGTCCAGGGCGCTCCGCAGCTCGGCCACTAGCCTGGGGGGACGCCCAGCGGCTCAACACCTCAGCCAGCCTCGGGCCCCGCACCCGCCCTCCTGCCAGGTACTCTCCCGCCTCGCGGGCCTCACCGGCGCGAGCAGTCCGCGGGCAGCATGAAGGCGGCTCCTTGCATTTACCGCCGCGGGAAAGGTCCCGCCCCTTCCGGGAAAGAAGGCCGCCTTTTTCCGGCCGGGTTACCCAATCCTGAGCCCAGAGCTAAGTTAGGATCCGCACCCCCATTCCCAGAACAGGCGCTCCCTCTTTGCGGCCCGGAGCTCGCTGGCCTGGCGCACACTCCTCCTCCGAGCCGAGTGGGCTCCGAGGCGGAGACTTTGGGTGACTAGCGGGCTTCTGGCTTGAATAACTGGGTGGATGGTGACGCCATTCCCGTGCTCCTTTGCAGGGCTCCTGTGATGGCTTACTGGTTGACCTCAGGTATCTGTCTTTACTGAAAGTGCTCCAAAGCAGGGACAGCTGTCTTATTGACCCCGAGCCACCTAGCACAGGGTCAGGCACACGGAGGAGGAAACAGCCAGTGGATAGAAAATGATGCCTGTGATAGGAGTCGGGACAAGGAACAAGGAAGGGTTATTCACTTTTGGACATACAGGGAGGTGTCAGGTAGGGAGGCACCTGGACAGAGGGGCTGAAGCTCAGAATCTGGAGGATGTGACACATGGAGCAATGGGCCTGAGCGACTGCTGGAAAGGCCAGGTAGCGCGTATGGCTAGAGGCAGCTGAGTGACCCATGGATGATGGAGCCCAGAGAATAGCCAGAGGTGGGGGAACAGCAGAGCACAGAGCAGTCACAGATGCAAGGGGAGTGGGTCATGGCTGAGGCCTAGGTAGTGTCTGCATATGAGTGGATGAGGACTTCAGTGCTGCAGGGGACACCTGCAGGAGGAACAGACAGTGGCTGGCAGCAAGTGAGTGGGACAGCAGGGCCCACTGCGATCAGAAATTGCAAGAATACAATGATCTCAAACCCTGAAGGGCCAAGAAATCTCAGCTGGAGGAAACCTGGGTGGGGGGGGGCATTTAAAGTTGGGAGAGGTGAGTCCATTTCAGTCATTAACATAAGGTGTCAAAGCAGAGGGGATGGAGGAGGGGAATCCAGAGTATAGGATATAGAAGGGAAGAGAGCTGGGACCCAGGCAGTCCTGGGCCTGCGCTCTGGGTGGGTCGCTCAGTCGGCAGTGAGGGAAGGATGTCTGTCCTGCCTCTGGTGAGATTTCTCTGTGAAGCAGGAGGAAAGGGGATAAGGCCTCCATTGGCATTTAGGAAATGCAAGGAGCCTCCACACCAGTCAGGAGGCAAGGAGACCAAGCAGGTGGTTCCAGGTCCCTGGGAAGTAGTCTCCTCCTACAGTAGCAGGCTGAGATATGGTAGAGAACTGAGTCCTTACAGAGTTAGGCTTTTTTTTCTTTTTTTTTTTTGAGACAGAGTTTCACTGTGTTGCCCTTGGTGGAGTGCTGTGGTGTTACAGCTCACAGCAACCTCAAACTCTTGGGTTTAAGTGATTCTCTTGCCTCAGCCTCCTAAGTTGGGACTACAAGCGCCTGCCACAATGTCAGGCTATTTTTCTTTCCTTTTTCTTTTTGCAGTTTTTGGCCAGGGCTGGGCCTGAACCCACCACCTCCATTATATGGGGCTGGTACCCTACTCCTTTGAACCACAGGCACCACCCCCAGGCTATTTTTTTGGTTGCACATGTCATTGTTATTTAGCAGGCTGGGGCCAGGCTCCAATTCACCAGCCTCAGTGTATGTGGCAGGTGCCCTACTCACTGAGCTACAAGCCCTGAGCTGGGATTTTGATGTAGGAGACCACAGACAAGCAGCCACAGTGGTGAAGGAATACACATAGCCCATTTGCCACTATCCTCATCACATTTAATCCTCACAACATCCCTGTGAGGTAGGTATCAGTGCCCCATCTTACAGATGAGGAAACTAAGGCTCACATATGCCCAAGGGGATAGTTGACAGGACAGGTCTATAATTCCAATGGCTGGCATTCTCCTTACCCCAATTACAGGCCACCCAGGATGCTCAAAATTCTCTTACAGTAGCAAAAAGATAGCTGCCCCCGACACATTAACACACATACAAACACACAGAAGAGCAACCACTGAGCTAACATCTATCTCCACATCCCAGTATTTCTGGTTCAAGAGCATTTGGAGAACACGCCTGGCCAAGTGGTTCTTCCTTGTATTTCCAGAGGAAAGAAAAGAGCATTCCAGCAGGCTATGTGTGCTGGTGGTCAATCTAGCTTGGGAGAGGTCACAGTCAGCAGGCCTTGTGTAGACCTGCCAAAGACCATCTCTCAGTGTGGGGAGCAGAGCCTACATGACCAGTAGGAAGGGTTGGGGCACAGAGCAGATCCATGGTTAGGCCCCGCCAAGGGCAAGTTCTTGACTCTTCTGCTCTCCTGCCTCTTTGTTATTTCAGACATTAAAGATGACTTTCAAATTCTTCTCTGGGAAAATTCTTTTTGAATAAAGAGTGTCAGGATAGCATTGAGGAGCTGGAGTCAGAATTTTTTTTTTTTGAGCCTAAATAATGTTGGGAAGCTCTTTTAAAAAAAATTTAAGACCCTCTACTTTTAATTTTTCTATTGTTTTCATTGAAGAAGGAGGAAGTCTAGAAATAAAGGAAAAGAAGGCCAGGTGTGGGACCACATGCCTGTAATCCTAGCACTCTGAGAAGCCAAGGCAGGTGGATTGCTTGAGCTCAGCCTGAGCAAGAGCAAGACGCTGTTTCTCTAAAAAAAATAGCAGGGCGTTATGGCAGGCACCTGTAGTCCCAGCTACTCAGAAGGCTGGGGTAAGAGGATCACTTGAGCCCAAGAGTTTGAGGTTACTGTGAACTATGACACCACAGCATTCTACCAAGGACGACAAAATGAGACTGTCTCAAAAAAAAAAAAGACAGGAAAATGGCCTAGAAATTAGGTACTAAGAGATGTTCACATAGACACCCTATGTGGAGACAGAGACAAACCATTCTGGGAGGAGGGACAGATTTCCAAAATAAGCTGGGAGAGCTTAAAGAAGGAAATCTGTGCCCAAATCACTGGGACTCCCACCCCTGGGGGTCATACCATCCATGCTGCTGGGTGGGGCATGGGCTCCCTCACCAGGAAACCCACCACACAGAAAGGAGTGGGTGCCCCCATGTGGCCAAACTGGGTGAGGGCAAGCAGTATGCTCAGAGCCATAGCTTCCCACTGGGGCCAAGACCAGGCAGATGTGGGAAGGGTCTCAAGGTGTGCCAGGCTGCTTGGGCCACTCCTAGTCTGAGTGTGGAAGCTGTCAGTTATGTTACTGCCATGGGGCTCCACGGGGGCTGGGAAGACCTGGACACACTTCTGGAGACAGTGGGACATGGGAGGGCACAGAGATATAGCCTTCACATGGGGTGGCATGATTGCTGGAGGGATAAATTTTCCAAAGAGAAGGGTCTGAGCTTTCCATTCTGATTCAGACATTCTGAGGGCTCACATGGGAATCTTATAGAGCAGCAGTTCTCAACGTGTGAGTCGCAACCCACAGGAACTGTATTAAAGGGCCGTGGCATTAGGAAAGTTGAGAACCACTGTTCTAGAGAAAGAAACTTGGGTGGCTATGAGTCACCCTCTTTGCTCTCTGCATGATGGCCACTGGGGTCTCTAAACAGTGTTCCTCTGCAGTGCCCCACCCCTTGCTAGCAAAACATCCCTTCCTCAGTAAAACATGTACTGTGACAAACACACTAACACAACACACACTCACAGCTTCAGAAAGCCCAAGTTCATGTCCTCCTCCTCTTCTTCCTCACTGTGCATGGATAGGTTTTTCCGCTTCACTTGTTGCCAGGGAACACTGCTCTCTGGGGGGCTCAGGGGATGACATTGTAAACATGACTTCCTGGCCTGATGGTGGCAAGGCTGTGTGTTTGAGTCACTGCCCAGGGACAGCACTGAGGTAGGTCGGGGCAGGCCCCCCAAGCTGCCATCCATGGAGTTTGTGGGACTTGTGCTGCTGAGGGAAGAGTACCCTGAGGTTGTGCTGTCCTTGCCTAGCTCCCTCCTGACCTGCAGAGGGGGCTCAGGCCCTGTGTTTGGAGGTGTCTGGGTACCCAGTGCTGGGGTGTGTGGGTCTTGGCCTCCTTTGTCCTCTGGGCAGGCCTCCTCATCACTGGATTCCTGGCAGCAGTGCTGTTCTGGGTTCAGGTAGACCAACGTGACATCGAGGATGCCGCTGGGAGCTGTCACTGTAGGAAATGTGGAGAGAGGTTGTGCCATAGCCCAAGCATCAGGGGAGACCCAGCAGCCCAGGCTCTGGCTCCTTCCTGTGCTAGGCTGGATATCTGCCCCCTTGCTGTTGTCCCCTGTGTTGCTTTTTTATTTTTTTCATCTTCCAGAGCTTTAATCAATTAGCTTTCTTTCTTTCTTTTTTTTTTTTTTT